AAAAGAGGAACACATTATATATGCACTAGAGAGATTAAGATGACTGCCAAGAGACAGTGCTGCTCAAAAGCCAAATTTCTTTTAATTGCTGTGAACTTGATGAGGGCCTGTGGACAGTGCACCAGGGGAGTGGCTTACATTTGATAAGACTCTCGTTGGAGAGACATGAAGCAGATGTTTATTGTTTTTTGCAATTAACTCTAAATATCCAGATAGCCAAAACACCCACACACTCACACACACACACACACACAAAGGCACACACACACACACACACACACACACACAGGTTTTTCCATTTAGATGTGCTGCTTTAAAATCAGAATGTTTCATGTATTTGTTGGCCCTCTCCACTTCTTCCTCTGAGAATGTTAGTTGGTTAGTTAGTTATTTCGGTTGCCCATTTTTTGATTGGGTCTTTTATTTCAGGGGTCTAATTTTTTTAGTCTTTTATATATTCTAGATGTTAGTCCTCTGAGGAGTAGCTGGCAAAGTGTTTTTGTTTTTGTTTTTGTATTCTGTATGTTGTCTCTTCACTCTGTTGGCCATTCCCCCTTGATGTGCAGAAGTTTTATAATTTGAGATGATACCATTTGTTGATTCTTGGTACTTTCTTGTGCCACTGGGGTTGTGTTCAGAGAGTCCTTGCCTGTGCCTATATCTTCAAGAGTTTTACCTGTTTTATCTTCCAGCAGATTGTTTTTCTGTTTTAACATTTAGATCTTTGATCCAGTTTGATTTTAGTTTAGTGCATGTTGAGATATGAGGGTCTGGACTCAGTCTTCTGCATGTGGATATCCAGTTTCTCAGCACCATTTATTAAAGAGGCTCTTTTTCCTCCAGTGCATTAAGCATCACTGGCCATTAAAGAAATACAAAATAAAACAACACTGAGGTACCGTCTCACTCCAAAAGGAATGGCTATCATCAAGAAATCAAATAAAAACAAATGCCGGTGACACTAAAATGCCATAGAGATCAGTATGGAGATTCCTCAAGAGACTGAAAATAGAAATTCCACTTCACCCAGCTATTTCCTTTCTATGTATCTTCCTGAAAGAGTTAAAATCGTCATATTACAGTGATACATGCATACCCATATTTATAGCAGCATAATTTATAATAGCTAAATCTTGGAAATAACCCATATGCCCATCAACAGATTAACTGATAATGAAAATGTGGTATTGATACACAATGGAGTACTAAAGAAGGATAAACTTGAGACATTTGCAGGTACATGGATCCACCTGGAGACCATAACGTTATGTGAACTCAATCAGACACACAAGTTTAAATATCTCATGGTTTCTCATATAAGAAACCCAAAATATCAACAAAGGATAAAGTAAAAGATACATAAGAGTAAGTAGGCAGAGTTTTCTCAGTAGGAAGGACAGCAAGAGATGGAGGGACAAGAAGTAGAAGGAAGGGAAAAGGGAAGGAAAAAGGAACTGAAGAAATAAGCTTTTGTAAATGGGAAGGGGTCCAAGAGTTGAAGCAGGGAGGGGTGGGAGGAGTAGGGGACGAAAAAGGAATGAAAATGTGTTATGTCCATGGACCACCTCTGCATGATAAATGTAATGCATGATGGACTGCACACACGTACTGATAAAAAGAATAAAAGTCAGTATGTTTCAATCGTTACAGCAGGCGCCTGGGGCTCCAGTAGCATGTCTTTCCATGTTGCGTCCTTTTGGTGTTGTCATCCTGGTCTGGAAGGAGACCACATGCAGTCATGCATGTTTCAGGAGAGGAGAGTTGAGCCCCAGTGTGCCTCATTTGTATGCTAGTTTACCCAGAACTCACTGTGGAAGGCAGAACATGAGTCAAGTTGGCAACTTGTTGTTTCGTAAGCTTGTACGTGTGGAAAGAGATAGACACTAATGATATAGGGACTCCCAGTGATATGAGGGAAATAAACGTAACTCCCAACCTGCTAGATGTCCAACACACCAAGTTTGTGTTCCCCAAAATCAAAGAATGAATTCTGAGGAGCAAAGAAGGTTAAGAGTGGGTGGGATATATTTATGGAGAGGGAGAGATTTTAAGTCCTGAGAGAGAGGAGGGGACCTGAATGGGTTTCCACAGACCCCACTTTACAGAAGAAGTTTTATAGAGTAAAATCACAAGGTGGGTACAACATGGGACAAAACTATGACCAACCAATAGGATTGCAAGTATAGCCACTTAGGTAATACTGATGCAGTGGAGAAGCAGGTCACATAGCAGGTGTGCATGGAAAGAGCCTTTCTTGGAAAAGATGAGTCAGGAGGTCCTGGTCACCCCCCAGGTGACTGACATCTATTTAGACTTGTTGGACTAGGTAACACTAATCATAGCATATTGCTTATCTCTGGGGGAGGTATGCAGACATCCCGGGGGGTTATGCAGGCATCCTATCTTTATGTCTTCATCTTGAAACCTGGCCTTCAACAGCCATGGTTGTAATGTGTTTGACTCCTTCAAGGGCCTAGCCCTGTCTGACTGCCTTTAATATTTCCACCTACCTTAGCTGTCTATAATGCTAAGACCTAAAGTAAGTTTGGGGAGTACCTGTGAATCCAAATGTATTTGAAAAACTGTAGCCCACCAGCCAAATCCAGAATCTTGCACCACCATCCCAACCACCCACCCTGTTTTTATAACTAGAGTTTTATTAGAGCACAGCCCTGTGCATTTGCTTACTTACATCATCCAAGAGTGCCTTAATAGGGAATTGCAAACTTTTGCATGGCCTGAAAAATCAAACATAGTTTCTGTTTGGCCCTTCACTGAAAGAGTCTGCTGACCCTGCCTCAGGTTCCTACATTCAGGGTCAATTGCTCACCACTGAGGAAATCAAAAGAGGCCATTTATTTTGGTAAAAGGAAAGAGGATTTATTCAAAGCTCCAGGAAGATGGAGTGGCCCATTTGCCTCAAATCACCATTTTCCCACATACAAGTGTATCAGGCAGGGTTCACTCTATCGAGGAACAACGGGAGTACAGAACACAAAAATCATAGACATGTCAGGCTTGTTTTGCTTCTCCTGGGGCCCAGACCTTTCCCCCTCGGGAAGAAGAGGACTAGACCTCCTGGTGCCAGAGTCTACTTTGGTCCATTTGTTTGAACTAAGGAGAGGTGGAGCAATGTTTATGGCCTTGGCCTGTGGAATTTGGAGAATTCACTTGTCTCTAAATGAAAAAATCTAACTTTGAAGGTTCCATTTTCTGGTGCTGGTTACAAAGAGGTCTACTTTAAGTGATAGAATAATAATCCTTACTGCCTAGGAAAATTTACTAGGATGCAGTTCTTTTTGAGATCTTGCCATCTTTTTCATTGAAAAACTAATTTTAGTCATACATTATTAAAGAGGCATTGTTCATTACATGATTGTCAAAGCTGGCAGGCTAATCACTCACTTTCATGTCTTCCTGATAGACAAAATAGCTGAACACGCATTTTCCCGTATGCTTACACCTGTGTTGTAAAATCCAGTGCTTGTGTATTTGTCATGGTTCTTGTTCTGGGACCCAGGCAGCTATGTGTGTGAATGTGTAATAAGAAAGTTAAAATCATTTTGATTGTCTTGGTTTTATATTTCCAAAAGGCTCCTGCAGGTGTCATTATTTAAAGAGAGCAGATTTAAATCTTTTTAGGGTACTATTTCCCCCACATTCTCTATATGCCAGAAGATAAAGAGGTCAAAAACGAGGAGAGAGCGCTGGTAAAATTGTGATGAGACTTTCTTGGGGATAATTCTGGGCTTGCTCGAAGGCAGCTGGTCCAGGCTCCACGGAGGTGCGTTTGTGGAGCCTCAGCTGTGAGAGCTCAGCAGAAGCTGACTCTCCAGCCAGGCCGCCTCTGCAGTGCAGGCAGCCCAGGCTCCGGCCAGGAGACATCGTTGCCATATTCTCTCTGGTGTAAGAAGTTGAGTCAGTTTGCTGTTGGAGTTTCTGTTTGCCTGAACTAGATAGGAACCATTTGCATTTGGCAGGATTTAAAGCTGAAACCCTTTTCTCAGCTCTTTCCCTTTCTGCCCAAGTCAGGGATAAGAAGCCAGGTTTATGTGCCTTCACAGCACAGCTTCCTGGGAAAGAGTGATAGGAGCACAGAAAAATTAAGTTTTATCCCAGTTTTTTCTCCAAATTATTATACTATTTGAAAATGTTAGGGGGTCCCTCAGGGCTTTTCTCCCTGAGAGAAGTCCTTGGAAGGTCATTGTGGTTATGGCCATGGTTGACTAATGGGAAGAAAAAACTTTGTTTTAAATTTGGGTATTTTCTTACATTCTAGAGGAATTCCAGGGAAAAACAAGTTGTTTCTAGTGTAGCTTCTTTCAGGAGTGGGAGGAAGAGGATACCGAACAAACTCCTATGAGTGCCAACGCCCTCTTAAATCTGTAGCATGGCTTTTCTCTCCAATATAAAAATAATTGGAGTTCAGGCTAATTCAGAGAATATCTGAGGAACAAGACTGTGACCTTCTTGAAAACTTACCCAAAAAACTCCCTTTATACATATAAATAAATTTTGGGGAGCACATTAAGCAGAAAAGCAAAGAAAGTTACAGAATATGAGATCCAGCCTAAAAGAAAAACTCTTCCTTAAATATCTGCCAGGGCTTATTTTGTTTTAGTTTTCAGTATCAGTGTTAGTCTGCTATAAGAATAGCTGTCCGCCTATGAAAGACACACAAGTGCTGGGATTTAGGGTGAGGAGAAGCACCAACCCCCTGCTCTGAAAAGCCCCCACTTGGGTGCGGAGATGAGCAGGTGACCTGGCTGGAATGTCTCGCAGCTGCGAATGCACGTGGTGCTCACCAATCAGAACCGGAATTGGTGGCCAATGAGCTCGTGAGCTAAGCTGAAGCTCCATCACCGGACAGGCAGAGCAGCCTGCACACATCCTGGGGCGCTCTGGGGAGTGGAGGCTAGTGCTATGTGGCCCCGCACAACCCCTGTGCTCCCCCAGCTGGGGCTTCTCATCCTGTCCTCTTGTCTGCTTGCTGACTGCAGGTTCATCCCAGAGACCTGGTCGGCCTGCACGGCCACCTGTGGTGTGGGGATCCAGGTGCGAGTAGTCAGGTGCCAAGTGCTCCTGTCTTTCTCGCAGTCCGTGGCTGACCTGCCTGCTGAAGAGTGCGAAGGGCCCAAGCCACCATCCCAGCGTGCTTGTTATGCAGGACCGTGCAGCAGGGAGGCACCTGAAGTGGACACGGCCACGGACGGGCTCATGGACAACCTGCAGGATCTCACCATGCTGTATGACTGGGCATATGAAGGCTTCACCGAGTGCTCCCAGTCATGTGCAGGAGGTAAGGGGACCTGGCCTGGCCCAGCCATCTTGCTGTCCTTTTTCTGTCTTCCCTCCCTGCATGCAGCTGTGCTGTACAATTGTCCCTATTCCAAGAATGACAAGCAGGGGTGGGAGGAGAGGCATGCTGAGTGACACACGCGTGGATGTGTCCTGTGGCCTCAGTGGCTCTCGAACTATCAGTAGTGAGTCACCAGCATGACTCACACCTTGCTCTCGCTGGGAGTTCTCAACATTCAGTTTCAGGTGTCAAAACCCTTGGCTCTGCATGCAGTGTGAGCTGAGACCCAAGGGACAAAACACGCTGCAATTTCTGAGAGCAGATCAGAGCCCCCAATCTACTCAGCTGATTTTCAAACAAAGGTGAAATCAGCACAGTGTGTACAGTACCTGGAGCTGGAGAGACTGCTGATCAAAGTTGATCCACTCCATTTCACAATGAGGAAACCAAGAGGGAAAGAAGCAGAGCGACCTGCTCAAGATCTCGCAGCTAGAGTGACAGGGCTCCGACTGTGTGGAGACTTCTGCACACCGTAGATGGTCTTTCAGTCCTATCCCATTTCTCCCAGCACAGAGACAATTCCTGAGGCTCCCCCATTATTAATATTGCTTAACTGAGGTCAAGTGTTTCCATGTGCATTCACCTGGTCTTAGGTATATTCCATGTTGATACAAAAATGCTTCAGGGCTGTTAAAATTATTTGACAGATAATAGATGTGTGTATGTGTATGGGGTACAATATGATCTCATGTATTATAGTTTAGAAGAGTAAACCAAGCTAATGAGCATATTCTTTCAGTGATTCTTTATTTCAGGTGTTACAAAAAGGATTGTAGCAGAAAATAAATTAATTCAAGATTATGGTCTCTCTTACCACTTTTATGACTTGTCTCTAGATATCCCCCAAAGCCTCATGCAGTCACAGGTGGGGCTTTTTCAGAGGTGGCTGGATCTAGAGTGTGTGACGCTGGGATTGATTCATGGTGCAATGCTAGGATTGAGGGCACTAGGATTAAGGGTGTGAGTGTTACCCACCCTAAGTAGTCTGGATAAGATATAAGGGACAGAAAGACCTGTAGTCTTCCCTTGTTGTTTTGCTACCATCTGCCCACCATGAACTGTTCCTCCCTGCCATGTGCTACCCTGCCCTGGCACAGCCGATTAGGAACTGACACCTCTACAAAATGTGAGCTAAGTAAACCTTCCACCATTAACTTTGACTGTAGGGTATTTCATCTCAGCAATGAAAAAAGTAACTAAAACAGATTTTGACAGTGAATTTGCTAACTGTACCTGACCATGAAGTTTAGGAGCCTTTGGAGCTGACCTGTAGGAAGGGGAAGAGTTAGAAAAGGTTTGAAGATGTTTGCTAAAAAAAAATACAGCTGGAACACCTGAGTCTGTACTTGATGGGAGATTCTGGTCAGAGCTCAGAAGACCAGAAGGCTAATGGAAATTCTGCTGGTAAAGATCAGGCTCGGGAGGTTTCTTCTGGGAAAAAGGACTACATTGCCTGTTGGACTCCAGAGTATATGTGTTATGCTTTGGCAGAAAATTTGTCTGCATTTTGCTCCTATCCAGAGACTTTGCCTGAAACAGAAATTAAGGGCAGTGGACTAATCTGGCAGAAGAAATTTCAAGGCAGCCTAATGTTGAGGTGGTGGCATGGCTATTGTTGGGGGATTTTAGCCAGATTTATGTTGGAATCAAGAACAAACAGCCCAGCAGAATGATTCAAAATATTTTGAGTTTGGCCAGAAAGGAAGCTCCAGTAAGGCTGTCGACTGCAAAGATAGAGCAGAGGAGATATTGATCACTGAGAAGGACTAGAAGAATAGAAAATATGGCTTGAAGGCATCACAAGAAGCAGCAGGACTCTACCCTTTGCAGCCTCAAAATTGCAAAAGTGAAAGATTTTGCTTTGAGAGGAGAATCCCAGAGCACCATGTTCCACAAACAGCCTAGCGAAGTTGTTCCTTGGGATTTGGTTCATAGGCACTAGGCCTCCATGGCCAAGAGAAAAGGAAGCCTGGCTACAGCTACAGCTGGCAGCAGACCTTGGTGTCATCCACATGGCACTGGTTTTAGGTGAATGCAAGAGGTGTGGGGTCAGGAAGGCTTCCATTCAGGTTTCATAAAAAGGCCTGGGAGGCTAGGCAATGTGCACCTGAGAGGACAGTGTGTGAAGCTGTAAGTGTGAAACCAAAGGTGCAGTGGAGACCCCAGAAGGTTGGAGAAGGCAGGAGCATGGGTCATCCAAGGAAAGCTGCAAGGAGGGAGCAAAGCCAGCCAAAGAAAGAAGTCATGGGAGCTACAACCACCAAAATGTCACAGGGGCAGAGCCACCCAAGCTCTTTGGAGTTCACAACTTGGCACATATTGCTGGGGAAGTGGAACAGTGGGATTTAATGTTTGCCCTGCTGGATTTTGGTCTTCCTTTGTATCCTCCTGTTTGTAACTTTTGGAATGGAAATGACTATTGTGAGATTGAATGGAAGCATTTTATTTTTTATTTGTATAGGAACTTGCAGCTAAGAGTTTATCTTAAATCTCAGAGGAGACTTTGGACTTGGACTTTTCAGCAATGCTGAAACTCTTAGGACTTTGGTAACTCTTAGATGTGGACTAAACGGCTTTTGAATAAAGGGACGTCCATGAGTCTTTGAGGGGCCAGGGGCAGAATGTTATGGTTTGGGTCTAGATGTCCCCCCAAAGCCTCATGCAGTCACAGGCGGGGCTTTTTCAGAGGTGGTTGGATCTACAGTGTGTGACACTGAGATTGATTCATGGTGCAATGCTATGATCAAGGGCACTAGGATCAAGGGTGTGAGTGCTACCCACTCTAAGTAGCCTGGATAAGAAATAAGGGATAGAAAGAGCTGTGGTCATCCCTTGTTGCTTTGCTACCTTCTGCCCACCATGAACTGTTTTTCCTCTGCCAACCCACGCCACCTTGGAGCCAGCCAATTAGGAACTGAAACCTCTACAAACTGTGAGCTAAGCAAACCTTTCCTCATTTAACTTGCAGTGTCAGTATTTTGTTTCAGCAATGAGAAAAGTCACTAAGACACCACTGTAGAAAAGCATAGCAACCTGCTCAAGATCTCGCAGCTAGAGTGACAGGGCTCAGACTATGCAGAGACTTCTGCACACCATCTATGGTCTTCTTTCAGCACATAGACAATTCCTGAGGCTCCCCCATTATTAATATTGCTTAACTGAGGTCAAATCTTTCCATGTGTACTCACCTGGTCTTAGGTATATTCCATGTTGATACAAAAATACCTTCAGGGATGTTAAAATTAACTTATTTGACAGTTAATAAATGCATGTATGTGTATGGGGTGCAATATGATGTTCTCACATATTATACAGTTTAGAAAGAGTAAATCAACCTAATTAGCACATTCCTTCAGTGATTCTTTAGTTGAAGTGTTATTAAAAGGATTATAACAGGAAATAATCTAACTCAAGATTAAGCTTTCTTACCACTGTAGAAAATACATTAGATTTCTATTGCCACTGTCTCCCACGTCTTCTCCTGAGCGGTTTTGATAGGTAAGGAAGTGTTGACTGATTCTCTGCCAAATTCTTTTCACTAGTCCTCAGTAGTGGCTGTCAGTATGTTAATGTTCCACACCCAGGAAATTTCTTACTTAACTGGTGAAAAATTATTTGGCAGAACTGTTTTCTAAACCATGACAATTATGGAAGATTTTAAGTGGCATCTTTTGTCACAGTCGAAAATGTAAGAAGAAATGTGCCACATTGTTCACATGTAATTGAAAAGGAGCAAGTAGTGGAACAAGTACTGGCAAAGAATCAGTTTTCTTCAGCAAGTCTTTTTAAGCATTTAATAGTCCTGACCTGGAGGTTCTTATTTGTTTCCATATTTTCCAGTTTCAAACCCCAGAATTGTGAAGTATTTTATTGGACAGCCCTAGCAATTTAAAACTGAAATTCTTTCCAATGATTCTGGTAGACAGCTTCCTGGAACTCAGTGAATGAAACTGTATTTATATGGTTCTCTTCACTCACTTTGAAGACTTCTTTATTGCCTAATAAAGGAGAAAGATCAAATAAGCTCTGGTGATTGCTGAGCTTGGGCAGGAGCTGAGTGCAGGGGAAAGGCTGTAGCTTCTTTCCTCTTAAACAAATGCCTCAATGTTCAGATGGTTGTGTTTTTACCCCCAGTTTCCACGATAATTAAATTGAATAATCATTACTTCCAGTCAAAAACAAATGTGCTTTGAAAACACTATTTATGGTCCCACGGTTACACTCTTGGTTACAAGTCAAGCCTGGAACTTTATGAGCAGGTGGAAAAACTAGATGCAGTAATGATATATAAATATCCAAATACCTTTATCTTTAAGAGTCTAACCATTCTACTGACCAACTAGAAGTATAAAATGGAAAGTCCAGAATGTATGTGGAATTTATTAATTTTAAGTGTTTTCGGAAGAGATTGATTTAGAAATAAGATTTGGATATTTGATGTACAGTTGATCTCTACCTGTCGGAATTGCCTTTGTATAAGACTTACATACATTGTTTATCCTTTATGTCTAAGGGAGGGTAGTTACTAAAATTTCTTTGGTCTTTTAGTGTTATCAGTTGATCACATTTACCTACAGTTATGTCACTATGCCAAGGTAATATATTTACACCTAAAATGTTAGAGTTGAAAATTCCAAAGTGGTGAAAGTATGCTTGGGTTATATGGTCCATATGATGCCCAGATACAATAACAAACTATTTCAATATATGGGACTTGCATATTTTCAAGTCATTGTTTGGCAGTAACATTTTATTGTATTATCAACTTTGATCTTTCACCAAAATATAGCCCTCATGATTATATATATGTTTAATCATTTTTTTCTGAAACTGACCAAAGATGTGCAAGATTAACAAATAGACTTTAAATCATTTTTGGGTTATAGAGCCAGTCAGGGTAATTTTATTGTTTCTGTAATCTCAAAAGATGAAATATGATA